CCGTCGCTGACCTTACTAACCAGTATTTCGAGTAATCTGGTTTGTGCCTCACTGGTATTGCGTATCACGTCATGAAGTTTATCGATTCCTCGACTAAACGTCTGTTCAACCGTCTAAGATTGCTCGTCAAGTCGTTTTCGAAGAAACGATCTTGTTGGTGGATCAGTTCCCTCGCCACCATCCTCATCACAATCCTCCATTATCCCTTCATTGAGAACGCAGGTGTTCTTGTTAGGGACTTCAAGACTGTGAAACTGACCGCCGAGATTAACTTCCCTTTCTCGACAAGTCGCGCTTATGGACTCAGGTGTCACGGCGCTAATGGGATTCTGCGCCTGCGGCACACTTTGTCCTATGTTCTGAATTGGCAAATCGGCTGTTGACTTTCCCATAGCTGTTTTCTTTTTTACCGATCGCGTTTCAATTGGCATGAACTTCGTAGTTTAGCACTGGGTCCCACTGGGCGTGCCAAAATGTTGACCCTAAAAACTACCAAGCCTACGTGGCGCGCAGGCCGAGTAATCTATGAGCTAACTACGTCATTCGGTTAAATGCGGGGCGTACCAACTCGTCGGCTGAGCTCGGTCGAGGAGTAAAATTTGTTGATGTTGTGTTGGGTGCGCGGCTGACTTCTGCGTCTTGTGATTTCGACCGAGGAAGGAACACGTCTCGGCCTCTTAGGTTCTTGAACCTGAAGACAAGTCTGCTATTCTTACGAGCTCATGGATCGCCTTCGTCGAATTCGATCACAGTGATGTTATTCGTCAAAGTAAACTCACGCCGAATCGACACCAAGGTGTAAGGACACAAATACTCAAAGCGAATATAAGTCTTAATAGTGAACGTGGTTCGGCCGTCTGAGTGTCGAACTCTAAATCCCACTTGAGAGTATCCAATCATAAAATAACTCGGCGTGCAATGCGCCGAGCTCAGTAAACTGTAACACCTCATTTCGTCGAGAAAGCTAATGAGATGACCTCAATCAGTAAGGATTCAGAAACCCTTCTCGACCGAGACTTGGATAGGTAACCAACCGTCCTCGCCGCAGTGCTGTTGATGCCAACGGAAGATGCTGCGAAACCGGTTGATTCTACGGCGACAGAGCTATCTATGTCGACTTAAGATATCACCGATTGCTTTCACAGTGTTGTTGATGCCAACGGAAGATGTGTCAGCGAAAAGAGAAAATAAAAATCTCAAAGTTGTTGAGAGGGTTTGCGCAGGGCAGTTGTGTGTTGAATTGGAGGGGGGTTGAATGCTGTACAGCCTCCTCTATTTATAACACCGGATACCTTCAAGGTCGAGTTAAAACCCTACCCGGATTAGGACTTCTTCTCCTGATCAAACACCAACTCGACCAGTCTTATTTTCACTATAATTGTGAACCTAGTCCTTTATTTAGCCGAATTCACTTCCGGGTTATTAATCTTGCCGAGACTTCTCATTGCACCAGGATTCGACTCGTCTTACAACATGACTTAACCAACCCAGGTTTGGAAGCCCACGACCTAACCGATCCAGAACTAAATGATCCCTGATAACCCTGTCGTAAGGCCTTCTGGGCCGAGAATAATTCTATACTCGGCCCAAACTGATATTTTGGGCCCAAACACAAGGTAATTAAGGAAATAATTTATTCTAAAGTAGAAATTGCATAAATGAAATAAGAGCAAGCTCTAATTACCACTTGCTCCTTAATCACCATTTATAATATAACAGTTATAAATCTTCCTTCATTAATCCTGCCGTGAAATATCGCTTTGGCCGAGTGGTTAAGGCGTGTGCCTGCTAAGCACATGGGGTATCCTAGAACCTCTCAGGCGACATTTATATTATTCATATTATTATTTTTCGTTAAATCCTATTTATATCATATCACCCTTTATTTCTGGAAGCTTGGTCGGCGCCTTCACCAAGTGCCCCCCACCCTTCTTAGCCAACTGATCGAGTCTCGGCGACTCAGTCAGTCAGCCTTTCAAAACCTAATTTCTCACGTAATGCTGGGACACGTTTCGGCAGTTAGAGTCCCTCCATGACCATAAAGGCCAATTTGTCTTTTGAGTGGGAATCCCAGTCCAGTCAACAATATTAATTATCATTTCGTCCCATTGAATTTTGAACAGCCAAATGAATTCTGAATGCGGCCAGTTCCCTTCGAAGTAGATATCAAATTTTGGATGAAAATGTTACGGTGTATGTTTGATATTAAAATTCTTTTAATTCAAGCGTTATTAGCAAATTGAATTTGAAATTTTTGTGATTAAGAGTTGAATTTGACATCATTGTCAATTTTATTTTCAATATTAGCAACATAATGATGGTTCTCTTATTCGATTAACATTTCCACCAATAAAATTTGTATCTCAATCATTTGTAATAAATACAACCGTTTAAAGTTCTATACTAATAAGAAAATATTATTTAACAATTTGGTCGAAGAAAGAACCACAAAAGTATGACATAAAATTTCAAACTGTCACATGAACTGTAAAATTCACCTTTGATAAAAAATTCCTAAACTTTTTAGCCGCAAAAGGTGATGAGTGATAAGTAAACTACGGAAGCACTTGCAGATTTGAAGATTGCAATGCATACCCTCTAGGAGTCCACGGTGCCATTTTCCATTTTGGTAAGGAGGAGTCTCCGGTGGCATAAGCATTTTTGAATGTTTACGCAAATGAAACTTAAAAACAATCCATTGACCTAAATAACATATAACACACTCAGTCTCTCATCCTAAACGTTCACGCGAGTGTAACTTACAAATAATCCGTGTACTTTTAATATTTTTGGTTCTACAATACGTAGACGGCATAGAGTCTGAAAAAAATATATTAGAATGTTACGAGGCCAAGTGAATTAGTTATTTATATAAGCAACTTTTAAGGGAATGGATCCTCATTTTTTTTTTATAAAAATAGGGTTTAGTTGTAGGGTCCACACTAAATCGAACTTTAATGATCCAAACCGTCTATTTTTCAAGTTGCACCTCATAAATCATCCTTGCAAAATATTAGCCAAATCGGAAATGTTTAAGACATCTAATTGAGTTCAAAGAAATTAACGAATACTTTGTTATATAAGGAACAATGAAGTTTTATCTTGATAATTAAATAGGCAAATGGTTTCGGATGAATTAAATTTTTGCAAGGATGATCTATGAATAAAGACTTACAAAATAAACGGTTCGGATCGTTAAAGTTCGATATGAAATGGACCTCACAACTAATCCCTATTTTTTGAAAAATAATAAAAATCCCTTTGCATAAAGAGCTCTTACACACACACACACACCACCAGAGTGAAAGGACTGAAAAAAGTGTATGATGGTCGAAAACGCTTTGCTTAGTTAATACTAAGCATGAAAGTTCAACCCTTGTGACACAAGACGCAACTTTATAGACATTAAAAATTTGAGTCAAAGGATAGCATATATATATATATATACACACACACACACACATACACACACACACACACACACACACACATATGGTTATAGGCTCTTTGTACAAAGAGGTCTCTATTTTTGGGTAAAAACGAGGACTAATTATAGGGCTCACTCCATGTTGAATTTTAATAATTCGAACAGTCTATTGTGTAATCTCGATTTATTGATCATCCTTACAAAAATTCAATTTAATCCGAAACCATTTGCTTATTTAATTATCACGTTGAAATTTCATTATTTCTTAGAGAACAAAATATTCATCAATTTCTTTGAACTCAATTAGATGCCTCAAATATGGTTGAAAAATAAATGGTTCGGATTGTTAAAGTACGATGTGGTGTGAGTTCAACAACTAATCCTTATTTTTATAAATAAATAAAAAATCCTTTCCTTTAAAAGCCTCCTATATGGTTGAATAATGTAGAGGAATAGAACAAACATCAACATGAAAGGTAGGAATATTCTTTGATTATGATTGGGGTTGTGTTAGCCTGCTAGGGACACAACTTAGACGTTTGCATGGATCCAACTCGAGTTGTAATTTGTATGGACGAGTTAGAAAGACAACAAATTGGGTCAAATACATTACCAAGCTATTCAAATGCGGCTTTAATTTGTGTTAAGGTATAATGTACTAATAACCATACAAAAATCACCAAACTTGAATCCATATCATTCTAATTTTCATTTTCGGTAAGTAAGCATGCCAAAATTAGATCTAATTTTTTACAGTACTATATACATTTACTAAACATGGGTATAGAAATTATTCTAAATCGTGCATAAAAAAATAAAAAATTTTAATTAAATCTAAAAGCATTCATTCGTACACCTAAGGTCCTAAGTTTGATTCAACTCTTGAAAATTAAGAATCGACTATTTGATCCCATTCTCATTCTTTTTTTCCTTCTTCGATTCATTAATCCCTCATTTTGAGTAAGTAAATATACCATAATTCATTTGTTTGATAAAAGAAAACTCAATTCAAATCGAATTATAAACTTGCATATAACTATAATAAAGGGAACTTTAACGAAAAGCATCCGGTACTGTTCACTTTAACGAAAAACCACATTTGTACACTAAAAAGTCAATCCTGGTACTATTCACTTTACCCTTTATTTTGTCCTTATCATTAAAACTCAAAGTTTTCAAACCCTTTTCATTAGTTTTCCTTATAATAAATTGTATACAATTTTATACCTACCTCCTCTCGATCAAGTAACAAGAAATATAAATATAAGGCTTTAAACAAATCGTTGGTGGCAAATAAAAATTGCTTTAGTCCGGGTGTAAAACCGGTTTTTGAATTTTATCAAAATGGTTAAATCAAATTCAAAAATGGAATTGAATTGAGGAGGCAGGAGTTGTACTTTTTAGACGAACGAATGGGAATGCAATGCATGCATGAGCTAGCGGGGGCCACAACCGTATAGACAAAAAAGGTAATTACAATTTAGTACCTTCTCTTTCTTCTTAAATGGCGGTTGTTATACCGTCGGATCAAAATGGATTGAAAAAGATCAACATTAAAAAAATTAAAATTATGCGACAGAAGTAAAAAATGCGTGTGAATAACCCTACGTGCTAAATCCTTTCGCGAAGGCGCTTGCCTTGTCCTATAAATATTCTCATTTCCCTGGATTGTCTGCAAACCAGTCCATCCTGTTTAATCAAATTCCGTTAATTTCGCGTGAGTCTGCGGATAGCATATGTCTCAGAGGCCTACCATCCCCCACTCTTCCTCCATCGCCTTCAGCCTCCATTCCCATCTCCTCGTCTCCAGTGAGATGAACCCTAATTCCAACTGGCCCTCTTAATCATCATTAAACTTTCTAATTTATTCTTATTTTCCGTTTCTTCCCCAAGAAAATTCGACATGGGTGTCAAAGGTTTTGTTGAAGGAGGCATCGCTTCCATCATCGCCGGCTGCTCCACCCACCCTCTTGACCTCGTCAAGGTCCGAATGCAGCTCCAGGGCGAAACCCACGTCCCGAACCCGGCTGAGCAGACAGTGCGCCCTGCTTTTGCTTCCGTCCACACAGCCGCCAGACGCGGCTCCATCCCCCTCCCCCAACCACCGCCTCCTGCGGTCCGTGCCGGTCCAATCACCGTTGCGGTTCGCATAATTCAGCAAGAAGGCGTCTCCGCCATGTTCTCCGGCGTCTCTGCTACCATGCTCCGGCAGACTCTCTACTCCACAACCCGAATGGGCCTCTACGACATTCTCAAGCAAAAATGGACCGACCCGACAACCCGCAACATGCCACTCCCCCGCAAAATCACAGCAGGATTGATCGCCGGAGCCGTCGGCGCCGCCGTCGGAAACCCTGCCGACGTGGCCATGGTCCGAATGCAAGCAGACGGGCGTCTCCCGGTGGCTCAGCAGCGTAACTACAAGAGCGTGGTGGACGCCATCGGCCGCATGGCCAAGCAAGAAGGGGTGACGAGCCTTTGGCGCGGGTCGTCGCTGACGATCAACCGCGCGATGCTGGTGACGGCGTCGCAGCTGGCATCGTACGATCAGATTAAGGAGACGATCGTGGACAAAGGGATTATGCGCGACGGGCTCGGGACCCACGTAACGGCGAGCTTCGCAGCGGGGTTTGTGGCGGCGGTGGCGTCAAACCCGGTCGACGTGATCAAGACTAGGGTGATGAATATGAAGGTGGAGGCCGGGGCTGAGCCGCCGTACTCGGGGGCGTTCGATTGCGCGCTCAAAACGGTGCGTTCGGAGGGCCCCATGGCGCTTTATAAAGGCTTTGTGCCTACGATTTCGCGGCAAGGGCCTTTTACCGTTGTGCTGTTTGTGACGCTGGAGCAGGTACGCAAGCTGCTCAAGGATTTCTGAACGTAGGATTCAGAAAGTGAACGGTGGTGATTGTATTCGATGTGATGACGAAAAAAAGTACTTTCTAGAATATGGGCATGTGTCTTTTTTTTTTTTTTTGTAATTTTTTTTATTATTATTGTTTAAATTCCTTTAGATTGGGAAGGAATTAACTTAATTAAGAGGTCGTTAGCAAAAACACAAAAACAAAAGTAATATATTAAGATGCAATATTGACTCTAAGCAATGTGCCATATAATATACCTAAGTGCTTGTGTATTTGATTGTATTTCAATCCCCTTTATGTTTATCATATTGTTAAATTTACGATATAGATTGGTGGTGTGATTCTATGATTTGGAGAACCCTAGTTTTATTTGGAATATTCTTGCGTACCTCAATTGTGTACAAGTTAACACACGACTAATCTATTAAAATGAACCATATGTAGCGTGTTTTATGTTTGATGAACTTATCAATGTTGAGACTAAACTTATAAAATTAGACAATAGTTCAACATATTGTGACTTACAAGTCCCGTCTAGATAGTTAAAACAATACCAAACTGTTCCGGTCACATTGAGTCACCAAAACCAAAAATTTTTATACTCGTTACCATTATTTGATACTGCTAGTTTTAATCTGAAATGTACATTTATGAAGAGTGAAGGGCTTAAGGTTGAAACCTCTAGACTAACACTTGTCATGTGAAATGAATGCTGAGTTGCAATTGCATGAATCAATCTAAAACAACAACTGGAAATTCGGCTCAAATTAGAACCCAATGGAAATGAAAACACTTTAACTGTTGATGAAGCCTTTGTGGTTCAAATTATTGATTCTCAGAATTCACCATTTTGATAAGATAATTCTAGCTATTGGTCAAATAATATTTCACTTTTCAATACTAAAGAAGCCCCGAGTTCAAATCAATACAAAAGCAAAAGTCTCATAACGATCTTGTGCTTATGTCCAAGACTATATAAATAAGTCCATTTAGTAATTCAACTAGATCATATACATACGACTCGATATGACGACTTAGCTTTTAATTTTGTTTCAAGAGTCAACTCAAATCCCTTCATATTTGACATAAACCAACTAAATTTAATTCCGTCTGGATTTTAAATAATATCATCTTAACACGACATTGTCAAGAATGCCAACCAAAGGCTTTGCCATACCTTTCAATTTCATCCACTACCTCTTCCTTGCCTACTATTCGCACCATCATTTTTTTCTTTTCTTTTTTGTTTTGGGGTGAATCACTATTTTGAGATTGTCAATTAAACATTGGAGAAAAGATAGCTTTTGCATTTGCATATTAAGTAATAGGGTTACTTCTCATATTAACTGTCAATTGATTTTATAATGAAACTTTAACTTTTTTCATATTATCAAAGCAAGTTGTCCTGTCTATAAAGTCCAACGGCCACGCCTAATCCACATTACCTCATTTTGTGTTGTCTACGTATTAGTCTTGAAAGGGTAACGCTAGGGAGTCCACACCTAATCCACACCAATCCACATCACCCATTTTGTCTTATCTACGTGTTAGGCTTGAAAGGGTAATGCTAGGGAGACCACACCTGATCCACACTTGATCCACATCACCCATTTTGTGTTGTCTTCATGTTAGGCTTGAAAGGGTAATGCTAGAGAAACCAAATTTTTAAACCAAATTATGTAAACGAAATGATGTGGTTGTTGATGAATGAAATTATTAATTAAGTATCGATTGACGTTCTTATTTCCTATCGGTGATACATTATTTGGTTTGAAAATTTGGTCTTCCTAGCATTAGCTGCTTGAAAGTTCACTATAGGAGAAAGAGACATCTTGCATGTGCTTGTAAGCAATTGAGTTACTCCACATATTCTTAATTGGTTTTATAGTAGAAACCTAACGTTTTTCACAATATCTCTTCTTTTTTGGATGTGAGATTCATGCTCTTAATAATATTTATATTTAAAGATAAGATAGATCCCATGAAAATGATTGTTAGTAGGCGTGATACTATGATGATTTGCATCGTAGAATGGGGTTAGTACCGAACTATAGTCAATAGGCTTAGAAATTTCTAGGAAAGTGGTAAGACTCGAACAACTTCACAAGTTGGGAGATATAATGGTAGGTTCAAAGGTTCATTCATTTCGAAATGGCACTTTAAAAGTTAAAAGTGCAACGTATTTTGCACCACCAAATTCAATGGACCATTGCATTCATGCTTTAGCCCCACCATGTGTGCTCAATCAAAGTTTGTTCCTGTCTTGTAACGTTATTAACACTTTAAAATAATTTTATTTTTTTTCACTTTTTCTCATAGATACCATAAAGCCGGTACAAATCAAATCTTCAAGTATCGCCTTCTCTGATTGTGTTCACTATCATTTTCATGATTTGGGCTTCCTACATAGTCGGTTTAGTAGTTGTTTCTCCACATGTCACAATATAAGTAGATAGAAAATATATTTTTAATGACCCTTCACTTATATTAGGATACATAGCGTACCAGTTTGTATTTCGGGTACTCCGCAAAATCTCTATCTATACTCGGGCCTAGTTCCCACATTTTAACACCAAGTGGTGCTTGTACATTCTTATATTAGGTATATGACTTGGGCAAACGTCATTTTCGTTTTATCAGTTGGTCAATTACGTTGCACAAAGAGAGAGCAGCCTCTCTCTCTTCTCACGTCTCATTGCCTACACAAAAGTTCCTCTACCCCATGATTGGAAATATAAAAAGAAAAAGAAAAAAAATCAGAGACAGAACATCTAATTACGGTAATAGGGCATTTTTAATCCCCCTTTCAAACATTCATCTCCTGTTTTCATTTAAGCTCTTCAGGCAGAATTGTGTGTTGTAGATTTAGAACCTAACACATTTACAACCTTGTAAATATACTGCAGAGACTGTATGGAAGGAAGAACTGTATTTACAACCACCATGAAGGCCATGGTGGGCATCCTATGAAATCAACATACAACTCAGACTCAAAATTTGACAAAGTTTTTGCCATGTCAAAATTCGTTACTCGGAACTTTGTGCTCGTGTTGTCTCCTTAGTTATGCCACTGGCCAGCGCTTCTTCTTCATTGGAAATGAAATCAAATAAGGTCGTCTTCTATGTTCGGTACACACTGCGCACGCATAAAAAATCGTAGCTGATGACTGTATTTCTCCATGTTACATACGTACAACATCTTTCAGCATGGAATGTACTTCTTCCATCGATCCTGGTGGCGACAAGTCTCTTTCTTTCAACGAGTTCCTGCGTAGTCTTTGCATTTCTGATGCAAATATGTCATCCAGGTTCTGCCATTATAAGAACAATGATTAGCACTTTAGTACAAGTCTACAAAAATCATTAGTACAGATACTAATTCACATATTAAACATTTTATCTTGTTAACATGAACTAGCTGCAATAACATGTAGATAATCAATATCTAGTAGAAAGTTCAACGGCTGAAGAGAAACTTAGAGAAACTGCCACGCGCAAGCCTTTGTACTCCTCTTTCTTATCCTCCGAGATATGCAGTACATCCTACAGAAATTAAATTGGAAAGAAAATTAAATTTTACATGCCAATTCAAGAGGGAGAGGTTGTATCTTGTATGGTAAAGATTAAGAGCTCAGTTTACCTGCCCCAACCGGTCCCAGAACTCTCGGCAGAGTTCTACAAACACGGTAGGATCAACAACAGTATGGAGATGATCAATCATCTCCCGCAAAAGAACCTCCAAAGGCTTCATTCTGCTTTGAACAACTGATTTCTCTGCCTTTGAGCGTTGAATAATGTTCTTCAGCTTTGTTTTGTTACGAACTCTAGTCTGTATTTACAAGGAAATAGAAAGAAAAAAAAATCATTTATTAATCAAACTCTGTAAATTTTTGTAGTTAACAGATAGTTCAACAGCATTGATGCACATGCACATTTCAAACTGAAAATTCAGTACTCGCATTCTCATAAAGCTTCTCGACAATGGCTAGTCGGTAGGTTCTAAGTTTGGTTCTGAGTAGAGCAGATACGTCATTAAGATGTTCGCCTGTGGCATATCCATCGCGGATGCAAGAACTCCGAGACATCAACTGGCTTTCAATATGGGGCCACAGCACATCGAGCGTCCTCTTCATGGAATTTAAAAGAATTCCTAACTGAGAGATGATACATAATATTGATGAGTATACCCTAAAAAGAAAGATCGAAGTTCCAAGTAGATGTTCAAGTAAGAAATAGAGCCTCACCTCATTTGGGACCGAATATGTGCTAATGCTTTGTCTGGATAATTTTTGGACATATTTGAAGCCTAATGTTTTGTTTGTCAGATTATCCTTCAGCGGCGATAAAACATCATCATAGTGCCTGTCCAAAGCTTCGATGATTGCCTTTTCAACATCCGCGATAACCTTTTTAACACACAAGCGATCTCAAAGCGTTAGTCAGACGATTTAAGGTTCAAATATGAAACAACACAGAAAGAGGCTACACGTGAAGTCGGAAATAAAAACATTAAAACCTCGAGAAGTATATTTCACTTACATTCTCCAAAGGAGATGAATATATCGGCCAGCGACTAATGATGACTTCAAATTCATCGAGCATTCCCTTCAGTTCAGTGTGCATATAATCAACAAAATGAGTTGTTCCATATTCTGTCCTCACGCCAGACCATTTTGCCTGAAACTAAAGCAACCAACTTCCTTACTTGATCCTCAATCTTCGCTAGAATGCAGTGCTGCTCGATACATTATTTCAAGTTTTAAGAGGAAGCAACTATCCATTAACCATGGCTAACATCAAGGAATATAAACTGAAGAAAATTCCACATTTTATGTTCACGAAGGTAGTGTCATTCTCCCTAGCCAAAATATGTCCCCAAAAAGTCTAAAAACAATACGATGAAATCGAATACCTCTTGATGACTTAACAGATTTGTGCTCATTTCCTTCACATCTGCTAGCAGATCATATAATAAGGTGAGACAATCTACAGTAGGGGTCGCGACATCCATGACATAGGAAAGGTATCTGCAAGTAGCATGAAAATTTATATATAATAGCCGTTAGAAGATCCATAGTAGGTAATATTTCACTACCTTAGTCCTAACATGATAGCATGATAAGTTACTTTGAGTCCTAACATAATTCACTACCTTAAATTGGTGTATGCCTTTGATACTCCATAGTAAGATGCAAATTCCGTCAATAACCACTTCCACAGGCCATGTAATAACAAATTTCTTTCCTGAAAATGTTGAACTTTCATTGCAATTTCTAAGACACAGTCATATACCACAGTTTCTGCAATGGAACCATACTGGACAAGGAAAGAAGAGAAAGAGAATATCAAAAACCGAACTCCAAAGATACGTCAATCAGTTTCGAAGAAAGGATTTAGCTATCGTTGAATATTAACAACCTTAAGATTACTATTTTCAACTGGAATACTCGAATAATCCATGCTTAATTGTATTCTGACGACAGGTTCATCCTCTAGATCACTACTATATATAGGCCACCATCGTATCTTGTCGCCCTGCATTCAAAATAGATATTTAATTCCAAAGCATAAATATCAACCTTCTTACAGATAGTGAATTACTGAATTCTGAAAATTGTATCAGTTCATCAGCAATAGCAGCCACTTTGACTAGGGCATGACCACAACCACAATGTTGTCCCTTGGAATTTTGTACTTGTATGATCACGTCATCACCAACGCTATTTGGAAACCTGTAGTAAACCAGTCGTTTAACAATACAACTACGTACAACAGTACAAGTATGGACCAAATGAAAGAGTGAATGAAAAGAGAAAATAAAGGACAAGAGTACATACAACACACGGGTTTCACCGGATCCTGGTTGCATTTGTACTGCATCCTCTTCAGGTGAACTTGTCAATCTCACGAAGCAGGAATAAGTTTCTGACAGAATTAGGTCGGCAAATGTCAGATACTACCCGACAAAAGAAAACCATCTGCACCTTAGTATCTAAAGGAATGCTTAAAATGTACAAAAGATTCACATACCTTGCACTCCTTCATACAATGAAGAGCGATTGCACAAAGTATTTGCCCTCATTTTTAGGAAGCTTGATCCTTGTTTTATACATTTCCTTCCAGCTCCTAGGCAAGCCAAGCTCCAATGAGAAAAGGAACCGTTTGAGATCAACTTTATGTTCTGTGTAGAATTCAATGCAGAAGATAAATTTGATCTCAAATTAGAGAAGCGCCTACAACATGAGTCATAACGAATCCTTGGTAGTTTTGGAGATGGGAAACTGCAGCTAGAAGGTTGTTCATCCGAATCCATTTTCACTTTACGAACTGTTGAATGACGAAATTTCGGTTGGAAATTATATATTATAATATGAAATATTGTAATATATAATTTTAATAATTGAATGAAAAATAGTGTTAACCAACATCTTAGAAAGGTTATGTTGTTTAAGTGATATTCCCTTGATAAGTGATGTATACTTATAGTGAAAAGTTACATCTCTTTAATAAGTAGAAGTTGGATTCTATATAAACCCATGAAACCATTGGTATTATATATAGAAAATTAGAGTTAATTTTTGCTTTTGAGAATTAGGGTTTCCCCACTTTGTTTCTCAAATGATTCGTGTGTCAAATTCCGAATCGTGTCTTGAGAGTATAGAATATATAAAGTTCGCCAGAGTCCGAAGATTGAAGTGCTTTGACTTCGGATTATAGATTGTTGAATCCTGAGAGATGGACGCCTATCGAACTACAAGCACAAGAGTAGGGGCGAAATTCTATCTTTAGGACATTGCATTTATGCAAGCCTCAATCTCCAAGTTTGTCAGTTTTTCTAACTTTATCTCTAATTGTTTATATTAGTCTCATACATAATTGATGTTGTGAATTTCTATGTGATTATTATTATTAGAATGCTTGTGTTATTTTCATATTTTCTAATATTGCTCCAACAATCTAAAGATAGAAGTTTATCTCAATGCAATATTTAGAAAATGTGATGATGTGTTTGTAAGATGTTTATGCAGTATAGGAGAAAAGCAGAGGGAAAACGTAAGCATTAGTGTTTACTTGATTCGTGCCTTTTGCATTGTAGGATGTTTAAAACTTGACAGTAATTATGGCAAGAAGTAAGTGCCTCCTGTCAAAGAATGACTAAGAGACACAGATGAACATGATAAAACTGAACATAAATATGCGCCATATGGTATAATAGTTCATAGTGCAGACTACTAGTACTAGTTCGTGGGATTAGTTCCTTTATAAGGATGGAAATTCATTTGAATTGCATTTAATTGATATGCAGTATTTCATTAGTTTATTAGTATGATTATATCCCATTTGTTTAAAAATGGAAGATGAAGTGGCTTTATGATCAGGAAAGGCATGTTTTGATTGGGAGATGCAAAACATTGCATATATTTTGACGAAGCCATATATGGGCTTGATATTCCAGGCTAATGTTTGGCTGATGTTTAATTTTTACTGGAAAAGAAAATGAAATGGGATTCGGTGCCTTTAACCAAGACAATCAGTTCTGATTGGTGAGTTTTGGTGGTTGATCGAAACCACACGTGGTTTATTTGAAAGAATATCTGTTGCGAAGCACTATTGTCAAGTTGAGAAAACGAAATTTTTGAACCAATCAAATGGATTGATGATTAATCTGCATATGCAACATGTTTGGCTGCAGTGAGATGCAGTTTTCATCTATTTCTGTTGTGATCAATATAATGATCCGTATATATCTTTGAGTTTGTTATTATATGTGATTTAATATCAACATGAAACTAATGGGATAATTGGTGGGACACCGGATACGGTTATTGGAATTCTTTATTTGGAAAGATCTGTCCCTTGGAAGGCTGCAACCATGGCTTGTGAAATCAGTTTGTTATACTGTTTTAGACATTAAAATTGTCTTAGCCACATAAGTGTTGTTGGGATTCCTGCACCAAGTTTTGGAAATTTCAGTTTTCCAGAAAAGTTTATTCGTCATAAGCAAACGCATAAATTTTTGGATTTAGTTTGTAAAGAACAGTCGTGTATCTTCCAAAGTGCACGTGCAGATGCATAGACTATTTGATACTCATGTAACTGAAAGTATCAAGGAGCGGTGGGTTCGTAATGATTTAACGAAAAGGCATGATCACTTCGTATGTATCATTTGGTGCGATTTCCATAGTGTAACCATTCCATCACAAATGTGGTGCTGTTCGGAAGAGAGTGGTGTGATCAGGCCACTACATGGTAGCTGTTCCAGAAAGTGCAAAGAATTGCCACTCTGTTTGGAGGGAAACTAGTATGCAGAAATCAAGGTCTGCATAAATCCCGAGTACATTGCTTTCTGAGATGGTGCAAGTAATTGCACAACATTGCAGTTACACACATTCATATTCAATTGACAGAAATATAGTTATCTATATTTTCTGATAAAAAGTATGCAATGCCCGTAGACTGAAAAGTCCTGGTCTATGTTAGTAATCGGAAAGTCAATGAATTTGACTTGAGTTGTATAACAAAAAAGGTTGTGGTTCTTTGTCAATCATAGAGTTTGACTTGAAACATTGACGATTGAATCGTGGACGTCAAGACCTACTTCGTAAGGATAAAGCATCCTATAGTAAGGCACTAGCCATAAGAACTTTAAATATTCTACATAAGGGCTAGTGACAGAACCCAATGTAAGTAAATTGTGGGGGAATGACATAGTCATCTTTGGATAATATGTCAACTTAAGAAGAATGACAAAGTAATTTGCATATAGAGAGAGATAAAGATTATCTCTTACAATGGTATTTTCAGGCATTGAAAGGATAGAGACCTTCTGGAAAGTACCTTAAATGTGGGGGCGTTTACCCAAGTGTTAGTGAATTACTCAGTAATTAAGTCCTAATATAATTTTGAGGACTTGACATTTCAAACAATGTCAAACAACTACTCTCGTATGAAATATAATTTCATGAGATGGATTGTGCACACCATTAAAAATAGTCAACCTAGTAGTGGATCCAATGATTAAAGGTTAGACTAGAGAGTAAGTTGATCATCCAGGGGAATGAGGCTAAAGCCAACATAACTAATGAATCAGCCGAGCGGAAACCTAACTTAGTTGATTGGAGATCCCATGGTCTAAGTTCAATAGGCAAACTGGTTGGGCATGATTCAAAGAAATTAACACACTATATATCTCATTCCTATGGTGGAAGAAGTGTGTTGTCTGCAGAAGTTTTAGGTTGTATATTTATACTTAATGACAATGATATCTTATAAATAAGAGGAATAGAGCAGACTATTCTTAATCAGTGGTCACCTATGTGAGAGTAGAAGTGGGTCGCTTCTATGAGAATGAGATGGCTAAATTCTCTAAAGCTCTCATGAATCCGGGATTTGTTCAGGACCAAAATGAACACAACCGTATGAACCGGAATATATTAGGATTAGTGATGTGTGTTGCTTATTGTCTCGGTTTACTACTGCGGTGAACAGTTCAAGATTTTATATTCACTGCGTCACCAAGTAAATCCGATAAGTATTCACTAGGGTAGGTTCAAGTCCAAAAGACACCTCTCCCGATGCATCTCTTGTCCGCCTATACTCTCAAATTCTTCCTAATTTTTCATTCATGTGGGGGATTGTTGGAAATTATATATTATAATATGAAATATTGTAATATATAATTTTAATAATTGAATGAAAAATAGTGTTAACCAACATCTTAGAAAGGTTATGTTGTTTAAGTGATATTCCCTTGATAAGTGATGTATACTTATAGTGAAAAGTTACATCTCTTTAATAAGTAGAAGTTGGATTCTATATAAACCCATGAAACCATTGGTATTATATATAGAAAATTAGAGTTAATTTTTGCTTTTGAGAATTAGGGTTTCCCCACTTTGTTTCTCAAATGATTCGTGTGTCAAATTCCGAATCGTGTCTTGAGAGTATAGAATATATAAAGTTCGCCAGAGTCCGAAGATTGAAGTGCTTTGACTTCGGATTATAGATTGTTGAATCCTGAGAGATGGACGTCTATCGAACTACAAGCACAAGAGTAGGGGCGAAATTCTATCTTTAGGACATTGCATTTATGCAAGCCTCAATCTCCAAGTTTGTCAGTTTTTCTAACTTTATCTCTAATTGTTTATATTAGTCTCATACATAATTGATGTTGTGAATTTCTATGTGATTATTATTATTAGAATGCTTGTGTTATTTTCATATTTTCTAATATTGCTCCAACAATTTCAGTGAGGCAATGAAGAACCTAACATTTTAATTGAAAAAGAAAATGAGGAATTCAATGAAGTAGGGTACCTTGTGTTAACCATAGTACAGTTATCTTTACTAATGCATCGAAAGATTAGAAACACTCAGAAGAAAGAAGAAGATCTTAAAAGAGAGAAGAGATAGAGAGAGAAGAGATAGAGAGAGATAGAGAGAGATAGAAATCTTTCTGTATATTTTCTTGTTATGTTTCTCATCGTTACATTCTCTATATATCCTTTTCAAGACTTAGTCACATTTGTCCTTACCTATACAGCTTGGACTAACTAACTAACTAATTCTTGTAATCTATCCTTTCACCTTTTTACAAATGTCACAATCCTGATGGCTTGATTATATACTCTAACATCCCCCCCTCAAGCTCATGGGTGGATAAACCAAGCGTGAGGTTGCTGCAATGTGGTAAAAAGAGGTGTACTAAGGCCTTTAGTGAAGATGTTTGCAAACTGTTCTGAGGAAGAAACAAATTGAACCAGGAGCTTCTTGCTTGCAACCCTTTCACGCACAAAATGAACATCAACTTCAATGTGCTTTGTGCCTGATGATTTACTGGATTAAAAGAAAGTGCTATAGCAGACATATTATTACAGAATAACACTGGGGGATCAGAAGGTTGTATCTGCAAGAATACAAGCAATTGTTGAATCCAGTCTAATTCAGCCGATGTAGTAAACAGGGCTCTACATTCAGCCTCAGTGGATGAACGAGAGACAGTTTGCTGCTTCTTGGAGGACCAAGAGATTGGATTATTGCCAAGAAAAACAACCAAACCCGTAGTTGAACGTCTATCATTGGGATCCCCGGCCCAGTCAGCATCACTAAAGGCTTTAAGAAGTAACTCTCCTTTACGATAAGTAATGCCTTTAGACAAGGACCCTTTGAGATACCTTAATATCCGTTTAACTGCAGTGAAGTGGGATATCATTGGGGCTTGCATAAATTAACTAACCTGATGCACAAAGAAAGCAATATCAGGTCGAGTGAACACAAGATATTGTAAGGCTCTAACCACACTCCGATAGAGAGCATGATTATTGAAAGGCTGACCATCATCTTTGAGGAGTCTATGATAAGGCAAACACGGTGTGACTGCAGGTTTGGCATCTGTCATATCAGTCTTCTTCAACAAGTCAACAATATACTTTTCTTGAGACAGAAACAAGCCGTGAGCAGTTGTGGAAATTTGAATGCCCAAGAAGAAATGTAAGGGACCAAGATCCTTAAGCTCAAACTCATTAGTTAAAGCTGCAACAACCTGTTAAATAGCAGAGGATGCACCTCCAGTAATTATGATATCGTCCACATATAAGAGAAGAACCACAATAGCACCATCAACAGGTTTAACAACTAATGAAGGATCTGAAGTAGTGGTTTTGAACCCCAACTGTGGTAAGAATTGAGTAAACCTGTCATTCCAAGCCCTTGGTGCTTGTTTAAGACCATATAGGGATTTTTGTAACTTGCAAACCAGATAAGGAAACTGAGGATCCTCAAAACCTGGAGGTTGAGACATATAGACCTCCTCATTTAAAATGCCATGAAGAAAGGCATTCTTCACATCTAGTTGTCGCAATGGCCAATTATAATGAGCAGCAAGAGCAAGGATGAGTCTCACAGTTGTTGGTTTAACAATCGGGCTAAATGTCTCACCATAAGCCAAACCTGCTTCCTGACTAAACCCTTTGGTGACCAAACGAGCCTTGTGTCTGGCAATACTCTCATCAGCGTGTCTCTTCACTTTAAAAATCCATTTACACCCGACTAGATTCTTGTTAGGTGGAAGATCAACCAAACTCCATGTTTTCTGAGAATAAAGAGCATTAAGTTCCTCCTTCATTGCATTGAGCCATACTGGAACCTTCAGTGCAGACTTATATGTTGCAGGTTCAGTGGTAGTCAAATCAACCACTGTGGAGGTGTGAGCAGCAGCAAAAAACACCTTTTTCTTCACAATTCCACTCTTGGAACGAGTTTGCATTGGATGTAAATTCACTGGTGGGATATCAAGAACTACTTGTAAACTTTCTGGATTATGATCAGGAACCACAGAAGCTGGAGAATCTTGTGCAGCAATGAATTGGGGTGAGGATGATGACTGAGAAGAGGGATAAGGTTCATGGGCTAAAGAAGGAGGAGATGATGGAGAAACAAGGATATTTTGCAAGGTTGGCATCACAATAGGTAGGATTGGTGTATTACTATCAGGTTTTACACTTTGAGACTGTGAACACTGTGACTTAGAACTTAGAGCATTGTATGGAAAGTCAAGTTCATTAAAAATGACATGTCTTGAGATATATATCTTTCCAAGGGTAAGTTCAAAGCATATATAACCTTTATAGTTGGAGGCATATCCCAAAAAGAGACATTTTGCAGACTTAGGTTGTAATTTGTTGCTGTTATAAGGTTGTAAAAGTGGGAAGCAAGCACAACCAAAAACCCTTAGGTGCTGGATTTCAGGAATAGCAGAATATAAGAGTTCAAAAGGTGACTGATTTTGAAGAATTGAAGATGGCATTCGATTGATCAAGTAGATGGCAGTTTGGCATGCAAAAGACCAAAACTTAGAAGGTAAATGTGCATTTTGTAACAAAGTAAGTGCTATTTGGACTACATGTTTGTGTTTTCTTTCAGCCAAGCCATTCTGTTCAGGTGTATAGGGACATGATTTATGATGAGAAATGCCATGTTGAGCAAGAAAGGACTGCATAGGTTTACTAATATATTCACCCCCCCCCCCCCATCACTTTGTAATATCTTAACTCTTGCTGAAAATTGAGTAAAGATAAAATGGTAGAATTTAACAAACACTGAACACATATCAGATTTAGTGAGTAAGGGAAATAGCCAACAGAATATGGTACACTCATCAACAAAGATGACATAATATTTGAACCCATCCACAAATACACTAGATGCAGGTCCCCACAGATCACTATGTACAATTTCGAATGGTATTACATATTTTGTAAAAGTATGAGAGAAAGGAAGTTTACTAAATTTTCCTTCTAAACAACTTTGACAAACAGTAGGTGATACATCTGTTTTAACAGCAACTTTTGACTTTCGAAGGATAAGAGACACTATGGGATTAAAAGGGTGACCTAGTTTGCAATGCCATAAGGTTGAATTCACAATATGTCCAAGAAGAGCAACAGGTGGGCGATTGATACCATGTTAACCATAGTACAATTATCTTTACTAATGCATCGAAAGATTAGAAACACTCAGAAGAAAGAAGATCTTAAAAGAGAGAAGAGATAGAGAGAGAAGAGATAGAGAGAGAGAGAGAGAGAGAGAGAGAGAGAGATAGAAATCTTTCTGTATATTTTCTTGTTATGTTTCTCATCGTTACATTCTCTATATATCCTTTTCAAGACTTAGTCACATTTGTCCTTACCTATACAGCTTGGACTAACTAACTAACTAATTCTTGTAATCTATCCTTTCACCTTTTTACAAATGTCACAATCCTGATGGCTTGATTATATACTCTAACACGTTGCAATTTTATTTTTCCAGAAGCTTTCACATGTTTTGGAGCAGGAGCAGCTAATGTATTGATTGGCTGTGAAGGACGCTGTTCTGCCAAAAGTTCAGCTTCTGATTGCAATAATACATGCTATAAACCGAATGCATCTCGCAACAGTGCGCTCTCATTCTCCAAGAATCCTTGAACTTCAGCGCAATAGCTCTGAGCCCAAGCATGAAGACAGAGCCTAACACATGCATCATAAGCGATTACAGCACACCATGTACCCTGCACACTGAATAAATAAAACCCCTAAACTTAAAACGACTACTGGATCAGTGAGATAACTATCAAATGTAGAACAGTTCAGTGTTCTTGTAAAAATTTCTCTAAAGCACTTATATTCGATAATCAAACACCGAGTCATTATGTGGTTATTCAAAATATAATTCAGCTATGTAACCAACCATTCACTAAATACTGGGAGGCGAGCAGGTGAACAAACTGGCGAGTTAGAAGTTCCATTGCCGAAAGAATAATGCATAGGGCTGCTTGAGTAGACACTTTTTGTTTTTCTTAAACCATTAGTGTTTGCAGGAACACTCCAATTCGAAGTGTGAGCTGTGTTGTATGCTCTAATAAGTGAACTTGGCTCAACAACACGTTCAATCTCCGAAACAGAACCATAAAGTGGAGGAGTGATGGGATTACTATTCGAAAGCTTATTTTTGGATGTTGTTTCTATATTACCACTTGAATTGTATGATCCCTTCCGGGCACCACCATTGTTGCTTTTCGTTTGCCTAAACGGAAGTTCAGTACTAGTGATCGAATCAGACAATTCAAATTCGGTAAAAACAGGGTATATTGCTTGGTTCCTTCCAAACTCCCGAGCCATTCTCAATTGGATTTTCTCCCTCGACAAACTAGATTCAGTCTGAATTTGATCACAACCCTGAATTCACTGCCTTTACTTCGATGCCACGCCTTTAGAACCCAAAGTGTTGGAAGCTCTGTCATCCAAGGGAGACCATGCAACTGAGTACTTCCTATCAGTGGCCACATTCTCACAGTCAGAGTCTGTGTCCATGTCTGAATCGCCGCTCTTCATTCCTCCTCCATTCCTCAAGTTGTTGACAGCAGATTGTACTTTATGTTTCTGTTACACACAAAACCAAATTAGAAAATCTCTATGCTATGCGCGCGACTGCGCACACCCACAAAGAGTTGGCAAGTCATCAAAGACAAGAAATTTCGAAGCCAACAACTTTAAACCGTAGCTAAATTCTTAACAAAAAGCGCGTACCTCTCCAACCCATCTAAGACCATTGGTGTCCATCCCTTGGTCGAACACAATTGTCGAAACTCCTTTTGACCTAACAGATTCACCAATATCAAAACTTGTTTGTAGAGAAAATCTGAGAAGCAACAAACAAGACTCGTTTATTGGTCCGATGACAAGTAGAGTGATCAACCAAGTGCTTATGCTTCTGGGAATCCCTCTAAAAAAAAACAACAAATGATTTGGGGGAAGAAGATTGTTACCCCTTTGATTTACTTATTTTGTTTTTCTAATGATCTTTTGATCAAACAGGAAACTTGTGAGAAAAAGCACTTTCCAAAGAAGAATAAATGTACTTAATAACTAAGAACAATTGAGATTTGAGACTTACCCAAATCAATATCATGGAGCTTTTGAGGGCAACTCTTTAAAATTATTGGGTTTTGCTCTCTCTCTCTCTCTCTCTCTCCCCTCCAGGAAATTTTCCTTTTTTGTATCCTGTAAATTCCCTCTGGTTTTTGGTATTCAAAATATAAGAAAATATTTTATTTTGGTTTGAAAATACCCAACCCTTCGATGGGATTAATTCGAAACAAAATAAAAGGGGACTTAAAATAATAATAATTAGGTTCTTATGATCAAGACAGAAAGGCATTTGAAGGAGACGTGCGAATGAAGAGATGCTGACGTGGCATGCGCAATCACTGTTTCTCATAATGGTCGAATTCTCTTCGCGCGGTACTTTTTCCATCTCGTTTTAGGTTCACACATTCCATGCACCCACTTAGGACTTGGACTGCATTTTCCTTTCATTTGTGTCTTTCATCATAAGAAAATTAATGAACTGAAACTGATGCCTCTTCCCTATCAAGAAAGACTTACATGAAACGAGTTCATCGTCATGTGGTGTTTCCTATCTAATAATGTATTGTCATGTGCAAGTTTTTCTTCGATATGTGATGGCTTTTGTTTCGTTTTTGTTTTTGTTTCTTGTAAAATGAGGTTTTATCTTTAAATTTTAGATTTGAAGCATTAATATCAATTTGTTGTCATAATGAGGACGCGAGGGATGGAACCAAACGTGATTGGTGAGTTAGGATAGATGTCAACTATCACACTGATATTATCTCAACTTAACCACCTACACAGTCTGGCAAGTGTTGGATCTTCTCGCAAAGGTCCTTGGTGATTTTAAGTAACAGTATATTCTACCAAGTTTTCAATAAACCCTAATGAAACCTTATTGAGCAAAAACTCAATAACTAAATAAAATAAAACTAATAAAATGAAGTGTAATGTTATGTCTTGAGTTGTTGGATTATTTGAATAGTCTAAGGCGAGTAAATGCACAAATTCACAATGTAGAACTTTGGGATCCTTTTCATTTTAGCTTGTGCCTTGTGGTGCAAACAATGCTAGAAGAAGTGATAACTTTGAGATTAGATTTAAGATTTGATGTCGAAAGATATATTGGTTCAAATTCGCTCTTGGTGAGAGTCGAACCTGAGATGTCACTTACGAGTGAATAGAAATATCACTAAACAGTAGTACTACATTATCGATAGAAATTTCAATGACATTCACCAAAAGATTTTGCAATGATGTTTCGTTTTACCAAAATTATCAATACCGCTAAGATATCTCCCAAATTTTGGAGAAATCCTAGGAAGATATTGCTTCAGCCCCTGTACAATTTTTTTTTTTTTTTTTGGGATGGCGAAAAGTGTAGAGAAACAAGAGAAAAATAGGTCAAGCTCTTTTCTTCCCCTTCTTGTTGGTTAATTGTAGTTTGGCACTTGACCAAAGAAAGGGAAACAAATGTCTAGAAACAAATTTAAATTTGTATAAGCATCGGACTTTATTTCCTTTTTCCATATATATTCACTGTCGGTCTTTAGCTTTACAACCTTAATTGGGTCGGTAATTTTTTTTAAACGGTACGTACCACTGAATGATCCGAAAAATCTTACTTTGACGATATGAAGAATTTCTTCTTTGTGCATTGGAGGTGATTCATTAATCATTTAAAAAAGAAATGATCAACCTCCTTGACAAAGGATAGATAATCTCAACTAAATTAAATTCATCTAAACAATGGAAAGAGGAGAGGGTTTAAACTTTAAACCCACCCGGCAGGCGAAATAAACACGCAGGGCAGGCGAAAAACATGCCGGAACCAAAAAATTATTGGATCTAGATTCATATGGTCAAGAATCTAAGCCTTCTAAACTAATAATAAACCATATATATATATATTTGATCTTTCCCGAAAGGAAATTAAACTCTACATTCATGATTTTATGCAGGAACAATCTGCACAACATCGCAATCCTCCATATCAGTCATCATCCGAACCAAGAACCTGCTTTTTAAGAACTTGAAGTTTAGCAACCAACTCATCTCTGTTTTCCTGCGCAACAATAATCAACATTAAGTATATATTTTAACGTCTGACGGGTTAATAAGTTGACATTTGAAGCTAATAGTATATAGTTACCTTGAATATCAGGTAACGAGAGCTAAACCAGATTTGTGTTTCCAAGACCCACAACTTCCAGCAACTTCAGGAACTACTTCAAATGGCGAGCAACATCAATATCCCCAAAAAAGGGTATCAATTCATAATTGTAATTCAAGAAATTCACATGGAAAGTATGTTTGGTGACATACCAATGGAATAGAATCAATAGCTCCAACGACAACTGATGCTAACCACAGAGCAAACAAGGTACCACCACCGTATAGCAAAAGGCTGTACGTATCATCACTATCCAACTGCAATTAGTCAAAGCGCAAATCATTAGTACAACTTTTTTATTTTCTTTTGGTCGGAAGTAACGCTTTTTGTGATAGGGTATTTGCAGTTGTACTTAGAAACATGGTTTTACCAGCAGCACATACTAACAAAATCATATTCCTTATCGTGAACATTACACTAATTTATGTTGTAAGCTATTACTTTCTTATATATCTGTTGACCCTAGAAACTACCAAACTTACGTGGCGCGCTGGCCGAGTAATCTATAAGCTAACTACGTCCTTCGGTGAATGCGGGGCGTGCCAACTCGTCGGCCTAGCTCGGCCAAGAAGTAAATTTGTTGATGTTGCGTTGGGTGCGCGGCTGACTTATGCGTCTTGCAATTGCGGTCGAAAAAGGAACACGTCTCGGCCTCTTGGGCTCTTGAACCTGAAGACAAGGTTACTATTCTTACGAAGTTCACGAATCGCCGTCGTCGGATTCGATCACAGTGATGTTATTCGTCAGAGTAAACTCTCGCCGAATCGACACCAAAGTGTAAGAGCACAAATACTCAAAGCGAATATAAGTCTTAATAGTGAACGTGGTTCGGCCGTCTGAATGTCAAACTCTAAATCCCACTTGGGAGTATCCAATCATAAAATAACTCGGCGTACAATGCGCCGAGCTCAATAAACTGTAACACCTCACTTCGTTGAGAAGGCTAATGAGATGACCCCAATCAATAAGGATCCGGAAATCCTTCTCGACCGAGACTTGGATAGGTAACCAACCGTCCTAGCCGCAGTGCTGTTGATGCCAACGGAAGATACTGCGAGACCGGCTGATTCTACGATGACAGAGCTATCTATGCCGACATAAGATGTCACCGGTTGCTTTCACAGTGCTGTTGATGCCAACGGAAGATGTGTCAGCGAAAAGAGAAAATAAAAAAAATCTCAAAGTTGTTGAGAGAGTTTGCGCAGGGCAGTTGTGTGTTGAATTGGAGGTCCCCTATGTGTTCCACGACCTCTTGTATTTATAGTGAGCAAATATTGTATGGTGCGGCCAGATAATTTCGTAAAGTCCAACTGCAACTTTAATTTGTGGAACTAAATTTGATCCGTATCAGAAGTCAAGGCACATACTTCAAATTGTTGTTTGTGGATAAACACCTATCTCGTCCTATCACATCACACTGGAAGTCTAGCCAACCTAGGCTTTTTGTCTTGATAACTTCATCATAGCCTTTATCCCATGCATGCATAATAAAATGAAATATAATCCCATCATAATTAAAAACCTAGCCTAGCTAGGCTTTCTTTTCTTGTCATATGCAGGTTACGGCATATACATATATATATAATCATATATATATATATATATAAGATTATATAATAGGCAACCAAACCGAATTGCTCTAACCCACATGGTACACTGCTAACAAATTCAAATTACATCGGACTGTTCCACCTGTCTCTCCATTGGGATATAATTCTGTCTTATTTATCTGGTTTAAGAAGATGCAGATAATTCGGATTAAAAGAATATTATGATAAAAACCATAATATCCTTTAACAAAATTATCTTCACTTCTTTTCATCCAACGGTGTGAAGCCATACTTACTCAATGGCTTCGATTGTACGGGCCAAAGGTGTAAATTCGGGTCCAAACATTGCCCCCCAATTTCCTTGAGCTTCGGCCTATAAGCCGAATGGTTAAGGAAATTAACTGGTTTATAGCCAACAACATTTTGCCGTGCTGCCGAAACAAATTTTGTTCCTCGGCATTAAAATCACCTATGTTCTGGCAATATCATAAAACAGGGCCGAGGCCAAGAGTAATTGGGGCCGAGGTCAATAAAAATCTCCAGGCCTGCCTATGTATACATGTAAACCAAATTGCCTGATGTGACCTGCCAACCATGCAGCTGGCATATACATATATAAACGGTATCCTGGCCGAGCACACATTTATAAAATGAACCTGTGCCGAGCATCTGTTGTCGAGCTCAGCATGTGTGATATAGGTAGAAAAGTACTGGGATCGAGCTTGGCATATATGTATCTATGCCGTTTTTTCTTCTCGGTAGTGGCACTATATAAGACCAACACTTAAGACTTATAGCCTTTAAACTTCGGTAAGAACATTCTGACATATATATAAAATACCCCACCTGCCACCACACGTTTTTCCTTTCTTCTTGATAGTGACATCTTGATGTAAGCTATATATATATATATAGCCATAAACCCAAATTCTGACATGATGTCGTCTGCCATGCTGCTATGCACATCTCCATCACGTCTTTCATTCCATTTTCTATACTCGGCCAACTAACATTTATATTTGAATTGCCTTCCTCGGCCAACCGTTTTTATACTCCTCGGCCAACTAATTTTCATTTTCCTCGGCCAATTGATATATACATATTTGGATTGTCGCACTATTGTCGCCCCCTTTAATTTCTTTTGCATCGGCTTAATTAGCCAGATGATTAAGAAAATAATTTATTCCTGTTTTTAATAAAAGAAAACAAAAGTGGCCGAACTAATATAGAGGAGGCCAACGATGTTTTATTCCAAGCCGAGGTCTTTTTGTATCAAAACTTTCACTTTGAATTTTTGCAAGGCCGAATAAAATAATATCTCCAAATATGTTTGGCTTGACGAAAGATTTTTTATCGGCCGCCGAATGTGTTGAACAATTATTATGCCTCCCAGGCATAATAATTTCGTCAATTTCAGCTTTTAACTGAAATAACTTAGCCGAATGGAATATCTCTATATCGGCTTTATCGCCAATAATCATATCGATTGGCGTGGTTTTTTCAGCTAGG